TTCCAGTGAACTTAAAAATGTTCAACTTCAAAATTTAAGTCAACATGACAATTTTATTTTGTCTATACAAACTGTTAACTGGCTGGATGGTTTTATGTTTTATAACTAAGCCAAGACTTGTCTTTCTTTCCACAAATTTTCTTAAGGATGATGATTATGTTCCTGTAATGAAAGAATCTAACATTGATGTTAAGGCCTTGAGCAATGCTTACAAGGAAAAGAAGAAGATACGGGATGACTCAAATGTAGTCAAAATTGGTGAGGCGAGGCAGACTGATTGTTTTCTTTCATGCTCTTTTGGAAAATAACTTATTATTTTAACTTATTTATAGATTAATCCCATCTGTAGAAAAATATTTTTCTTATTGGAAAGTCACAAATCAAGAAATGGAAGTTTTTAAGGCTTTAGAACTAAATTATTTAAACGGACACTCTCTAAATTATGCATACGCTCAAATGTCAATAATCTGTTTTTTCTTGGAAAGATAACAGAACTGTCGTGACAAGATTTCTTTGCAGACTGCACCCTGTCAAAGATCCGTTTACATTCTCAAGTTATATTTTAGAGTTTTTGGAATTGAAAAATTCTTTCATCAGATTTAATAATTGCCTTGCAAGTGGCCATGGTATCACATTCACAAATTGTATAGTGGTCATCCAGTAAGCCGTAAGTTTAAAAAAGAACTACAACAGTACTACATTTCGGAAATGTAAAATTACATCAGTAGAAAATTACAATGATCTGTGTAAACTCAAAGAACAAAGAGTGACAACCCGAGTCCATGCAAAACACTGTAATTAAAAAAAACACAGTCATATACTAATTACCCGTACTAACATTGTAATAAATCTTAAAAATTATGTTAATAATATACACCAAGATATAGAGCTGTATATACATAATTATATTTGTATGCACTGTTGTGAAACTTGTGTCAGAAGTCATTTTGTGGCAAGTGCAGTAATCTTTGCTTACATTCCGCCGGCTAAGACTAGTTTAAAAAATCATATTTTAATGCCCTGACATCTTTATTCATAAAATTTTAAAACTTTTACTCCGTGTTGACAGAGAGACATAAATGTACAGGTTGTTACCATAGCAACTTTGTAACCTCACATTGTGAGGAATTTTGCCCCAAAATTAAGGAGTTATTTGTCACCTGTGATGATATTACTTTGCTAACACTTTGTTGCAAACCATCTGCTTCATCAAATCCACAAGATCTCTTGAATTTAGTCACATCCATATCTAATGAATTTCTTTATTTATAATTAATAATAATAATATAAATATAAGCAGAAATGGAACAGCTGTGTCAGAGCTTGCTTCAAATGGAGTTTTGAAGAATCTGTAACACCCTTCACATCTTAATTTGATTTTGCGACACCCTGTCCGAAAATCAAAGTTTAAATGGGATTGTGGGTTCCTTTAAAATCCATCAATGTCATTTATATGTATATCAACAGTTTGTTATGTTTACTTATTAAATCTTCTTGTGCTTGTATTTTCTTAGTGGAAGAATGGAGATCCAAGTGGTTTCTTGAACGTCGCTGGCAAAAATGTGGAAGTGATGAGCTGATAAAAGCCATGAGTGATATTAATGATCACGTGAGACTCGCTGCTGTGTCAGCATGTAGCAAGGCTGCTGAGCTGCGGCAGATAGACAAACAACAAAATCATCTAGGTAATCTTTCAATGCATTATTTTTATAATTTTGTAGTTGTTTTTTTTTTAACAAAAAGTAATATGTCAGAAAATGATGTTTAAAAACTCAACAATAATTTTTCATTGTCTAAAATCTCCATTAGGTCGTGAAAATGATGTCAAATTGTTCCATATATTCTTGTACAAGAGTGTGGACAACAGAAAATTGTCATTGTCAATTTGCTATTTAAATGATATTGAGTGAAATAATTATTTTCAACACAAGAAGAGAAATTTGGTTTCTCGAAGGAGCCATGTTCTGTTTTATTTTTATTACACACCAATGAAATGCTAGCCTGCGAACAGCAGACTTATTTCTGCTCGTCAAAGGGAGAGAAGCTACGACTGGAAATACGTCTGCCAAACTACTTTTTGCTCTGAAAAGTGTGGTTTATTATGTAGCCATAGCAACAGTGATCTTTTCCCATGTGAAAAATAAAACATGTCATTTTCAGTTGCGAAGATATCATGTTTCCTTGCCTAAAGCTCACCTGGTATTTCATTAGTGTTCATATAATAAAAAATATTAATCATTATTTAATTCTCTTCCTTTCATTTTTTGACTCAACACTGTACATAGGGATCATGTTAGACAAATCCAAAGCACCTACACCTCCCCTGGAAGCTGTACTTGAACCTGAGTTAATAGAAGCTATTGCAAAGCTGTTGGATGACAGGAATTCGCAAGTCAGAGTTGCTGCCGCTATCACAATGTATTCGTTGAATAAACCTAGTGACAAGGTACCTGATGAATATTACTTATAGTTTACTTTACTCTGGGCTGTATGTGTACCTCTGTGGTTGTGAAATTCTCAGTAAGTGTACCTGTCTTCAGTCTAACAATCCCGATAACTGTGCTGGCTAACATCCACGCCCACAATAGGTCAAACAATGCCTGGTTGCTCAAGGAGGGGGCTGGGATAGGACAACTCCTGGTCTTGAGAGTGATATAAGGTTCATTATAAAATTATGTTAAATTCTAAATACAGAAATATCACAAAAAAGATGCCTTTAGCACCATGTACTATGCAGAATGTCAGTAATTGGTGTTTAAGTATTTAATTTTAATGAGGTGGGGTGTGGCTAAAGCTCTGTTTTTAAGTCAGTATATGTGTCGAAATGAAATACTTTGCTCGCAAATTGTGATACAGTTTTTATCTGCTCTAGGCTAAATCAATTCTTTTGTGGGCAATGGAGCAAGGTGGTCCCCCTGAAAAGTGGGCAGCAACCCAGTGCTTGGCAATGAGTGGTGTCATCACAGACAAGATCATAGTGGAACTTGTCAATCATCTACATGCTGATAATGCTGTAAGGACTGAGAAGGCAGGAACTCTATTAGCACAGCTCAGCCAAAAGTCGGTAAGTCACTGTGTTAAATGTCTGTGGTGCAAACGCAAAAGAAGCTGAGTTAGTCTGTTTTAAGCTGTTTCATACAATTGTTTGGATGTTTTTTGCTGTGATGACCAGTGTGCTATGTACTTGCTATGCTGTTTGAAATAGGATTGTCTGTACATGTATGAAATTTTATTTCAAACCGCTTATGGCCCAGTCTTAACTGACTGAAGATCCTACTTTGCCCTCTAATTACATGTACCTGTGTTTTATAATGCTTATAAGTTTGCTTGACAAGCACACATGGGGTCCCTATTGCAGAGAGGTGCTCTTATCGGGATGAACAGAACGATTACATGTCAGTGGAACTTTACGTTAACTATTTGAGCTTGGTAAATGCAAGTTAAACAAGACGTGTTCATTATCTTTTTGTCAATCTTTTTAACCCATTCACTACAATTTTAATTAACATGCGACATCTAAAGTAACACAGATTTAAATAAACCAATAGTTAATTTATGCACTTCAGTCAGTCGTAATTACAAAACGAAATTAAAAAAATGGATTGAAATAGAAATCATGTCTGTACGTTGTAATTATTTCATCGTACAGACATGAACTTTTGAACACGTTCGAGAAAACCTGTGTTTTCTGAGAGGTCCGGCAGGTAACTGATGGAAGCAAACTCGCTTCAGGGCTTTTGTTTGACTACTCCCGCGTTCGTTACCTACGCGAAAATGCAGGCTTTTCGGCAGGCTTGGTTTAACTTTTTACTGTAGACGTCGCATGCTATTGAAAAGCATAGTAATCTATTTCCTCTAGGATGTGGTACAGTCCTTGATTGCTGAATTACTGAACAGTAACAGTTGGAAGGACCGTGCAACAGCTTGTAAAGTGATTCCGAAGCTTAAAGGAGGTGCTAACAAGGTGGGTAGTCTCTAGATCCGAACTTGTCTGATCCACACTATATTCTGTTAGCTTGGTGGTTAGCGTGTCTGTCTGCCTGGTAGGAGTTGACGGGTTCCACCAATTCCTAAAGTCTGTAAACATATCACTACAAGCTAATAGGTAAACAAGCAAATAGGTACATTTTGAGACAGTATATATGGCATTGAACGGGAAAACGAGTAGGAGGATGGGAGGATGGAATAACAGGAATAAGATGCGTTTCAGAGACACATTAACCACTGTAGCTTGTGATCAGAAGCCGGGCCTCCTCTTCTGTCAGTATTAGGTCGTTTTGACGAAAGGTTAATTCGCCCGATAACAGTTCTCCCAGACTAAGTCGATTCGCCCGAAGCGCATTTGTCGTTTTTTAAGCCTGAAAAAACGGAGTATGCATGAAAAGACAGTGACTGCACATATCGAATCCAAAGGTTACTAAAATAACATCTCGAAGTCAGGTATGTTCACCATGTTGTAGAGGGTTGTATGTCATCGGGCGAATCGACTTTCGGGAGAAACGACTACAATTGTCTCCGCCGACGAGAAGTTAATAGGGGTGTGTACACAATATATCTTTTGGGACATAATTTCTGATACAAACCGGCACTTGTTAATCATTCTTATTGTCGTACCTGATACAACTCAAACCATCTAAACATGCTGTGTTTGTATTCTTCCAGGACATGACTCACAAGTTATCTTATCTAATGTGGAATGACTGGAACAAAGATGTACGCTCAGCAGCTGCACAGGCTCTTGGGAGAACTGGCAATGGCAAGGTACTGTACAGTAAACTCTGTGCATCCTGATAATTTGAACCAAACCGCTTATCTTTTACAAGCAAACTCTGCAAGTTTACTCCCGTTCCTGCATCTGTCCGATTATTCAACCAATTACATCACTGTAGTTTCAAAAATTGCAGCGTTATTGATACGTATAATCTCACCAACAGCTTGTCCATGATGCATTACGCGAGAGAATTCTCACTGGAAACGAAAGGATTAAAGTGGACGCGCTAAAAAAGGTAAGGACTGGGGACAATAAGTTTGTATTAGTTTATATTGTGACCAGACAAAGTAAGCTATTCCAAGTGTTTTGCGAATAAAGACAGAAATTGCAATCTGCTGACATCGCAAGAAAAATTGTGTGAGAGTACCGCGAATGGAGAGGTTTGCTATGAATGTAGCTGTGCTACACGCAACATTGCATGTGTATTATTAAAAGTAGATGAGGCTTACTCAGGTCTTGATTAACAGGGGCCTGAATGTGTTCGTTTTTTCTTTCTTAGCTCTCTAATCTAGGTATAATGACGGCTCGTCTTCTGCCGGCCCTGCAGGAGTGTTTCAAGAGTGAATATGTGTCCGTGAGGATCGAGGCTGCCATGGTAACGAAATTTTGTCCCGTTTACTACTCTTTGTGATACGTTTGGAAGCCGTTTTCCCTTTTTTTCCCCGCTCTTGGCGGGTGAATCCGATTTGTATGTGATTGGTTACTACTACTACTACCACTAGAAGATAATAATAATAATAGTAATAATATTATTAATAATAAATAATAATAATAGTCTTATAGTATGAATAACAGATGTTACCTTGCAGGCTGCAGGCAAGTTGAAGATCACAGACAAGGGTATACTGAGTTCGCTACTGCGTCTGGCGAGTGATGATAACAGTTGGAAAGTGAAAGCGCACACCATCAAAGGTGAGCACTATCGAGCCATTAAACCGAGGACGGGAATTTGCTGTTCACTTCAGCTTCAGCATGTCAGTTACCACAGCACTAACTGGTGCACAGGCTGATATACGAAATAGTGTCCCTCTTTTTTTGTGGGTTCAGAATGATTACGTTGTTCAGAATTAATTAAAAATGACAATTAAAGTAATAATATTGATAAACTTATATAACTCAGATATCATTCTATAGAACATTTTCATCTGCGCTTTACAATGTTTAAGAAATAATGACAACTGGAAAGCTGAAACCTTAAAATATTACTCAAAATCCTACAATACATCTAATTCTTTGTCACACATTCTAGTGCATAGTTAATAAAAGTTAACTAAGAGACTTTTTAAAGAGACTTAAGAGACTTTTTAAAGCTTTTTGCAGAATCTGATTATTATGTGTACCCCTAGTCTGCTACACAGCAGCTGACACAGCCGTTGTAGTGTCGTCACCCAACGCTCCTCCCTCCCTTATGGGGAGAAGCATTGCGTGACGACAATAAAACGGCTGTGTAGCAGACAAGTGTACCCCTTATTTTGTAGTAAGTTGTGCATTTTGTTTTCACTTTACTTTTAAATTTCTTGACAGCTCTCGGCTCTATAGGAGTGGTGGATGAGAAACTCATTGAGGTTTTGTTGTGGTCCATTCGCTATGAAAAGGTAGCCGCTGTACGCGCAGAGGCGTGTAACGCTGTCGCGGTGCTGGGCTTGCGAGATGAGCGTTTGTTGGGCGTTCTTCAGGATCGCCTTGTGGTCGAAACTGAAGAAATTGTCAAGAGGTATTAAACATTCGAGCTGACTTAGTTATAATAATAAGCTAGTATACAGTACACCTCCTACTCTGCCTCCTACTTGAAGTTATAAAAGTATATATATGAAATTTCTTAAGTTTGAACGGTAACAACATATTTTTGACGTGAAAGATCATCGCAGGTCCCTACGCAACCAACACACAAAAACAAACAAAACAAAAAACAACCACAACAAGAAAAAGACAAACAAACAACAACAACAACGACGACAAACTGCAAACTAAAAACAAAATCGTAGACAAAAAGCATTCAGGCAGCTGGCCTGAGCGGGATTCGAACCTATGATAGCCTGAGTTTCAGGAGGTTTTAGCGGAGGGGGGAGTGGGGATGAGAGAGAAGTTTCTCTCCCTTCGCTTTCTCTCCTAATCGCTTCTTTCTTCGCTTTCCCCCCCAAGAAACTCCTTATACTCATTCTAGACCCATGACCGATGCCTTTGCATTGCTCTTACCAATAAGTTATCAAGCCAGCTGGGAACTGTTCACTTTGTGGGTTCGTAATTTATACCCTTAGAAGATGAAGATATGAGAGTGAATATCTGAAATTTCATATCACACTAAGAATGGAAATCGAGTAAGTTTTATGACGGGAATTCGAAGAGCTTCCTGTGGTGATTACCGTTCTAAAAATAGCAAGATTCGGGAAACTCTATGGCGTGTCACAGCCTCCTCCTTAGGCGCTTCGTTCTTCGCATGGTAGAGGCGAGCGCGAAACGCGACTGACCGGTGATGAACCGCAGGGGACCATGGGTAGGGTACATATGTCTCCTTCCCGCCTTTCTTTGCGCGCACATTTTCATCGAGAGAGAGACGTCTGGGTACGAGGCAGGGCGTGTCACATATGGAGCCGGACCTCTCTCCACCACAGAGGCCTCTTTGTGTCGTTGCTATTTTTCTTGGGATACCCAGCGGGAGCCTCTGCGGGAGGAGAGAGGAGCCGGACCCCGAGTCATGAGCTCCTGATTGTAATGAGTAATGGTAACAGGACTGAGTGGGGTCCAATTCGGTCTGTAATCATACCAGTGATTATCAAAATCGGACGACCGCGTAGCGGGAGTCCGATTTGTTTAATCACGAGTATGATTACAGACTGAATTGGACGACACGAAGTTCTCTTACCAGTTAATCATAACTTTAACAAAATTTGTGATATATAAGGCTCTTTTTAAAATCAAAACGGAAAAAATCCAATTTTTTTTTGCTAGCAGTGAAGACGAGCCATTGAAGCGCGCGCGTGATGGCGCGTACTGTTCTATTAAACTGTCCTATTAAGGCTGAAATCAGGGCAGTTGATAGCCAATCAGATTTGAGAATTTTGTTATAGTTTTGATTAGTGGATAAAGAGTACATGCCAAATCATCTTGTGTTAGCAAGACTTTTCTTTCTACCTTTTCATAGAGAAGCGATCATGACGTTGGAGTCGCTAGGTGTACAGCCGACGGGAGATTTGGAGATGGTTGAAGCCATTAGGCAAGAAGTTAGACGATTGTGCAAGAGAGATGCTATTGTGGCGCATATTCTGCAAGAAGACCAAACAGCCGAGTACGCGAGCGATTATAAGCGCCTTTTCACCACCGAAGCTGAACAAGGCCTGCCCGTGCGTGTCGCGTCACGAGCAACGAAAGTTGGCTCGCGCACGGTTTCACGCGCCACGAGTGAATCCTCGCGGGGATGGGACCCAATTCTCGCGGGTTACCATGCGCGAGAAAGGATGTCTAGGGCTCCAACGCCTGGAGATCTTATAATGAGGCGATCTTATCTTCCTCTGGATTTAAATAGCACTTCGTCTGAGAACAGTGACGCCGCAAACCTCGACAAATGGGACGACCTATCCGAGCATTCTGAAAGTGATGCGGGGTCTGGTGATGAGCTGGAGAAAGAGGAAGGTAATTTACAGGAAAAGCAGGAGAGCAAATCGGCTTCGTGGCCGCCATCGACTTCTCCTTTAAAAGTGGAATTTTCTGAAGATCAAGGAGCTCTTGTCAAATCCTCTTTCAGTGACCAGGCCGAAGAAGATGGCGACCAAGATTCAGATACTCTGCTGGAACTTGAGTCAAATAAAGATGATCCTGAACTTTTAAAACTCGCGGACGAAATCAGCGAACGAAACATTTCTTCCCCGAGCCTTTCTGTCCACGATCAGTCTGACGTAATCGCCGCTGGGAACCTTGAAAATAGATCTGTTTCGTCACAGCGTACAGACTCTTAAATTATATTTAGTTAGGAACGTACGGTGTATGTTATATTTATAGCTATTCACAGAACCACTGACTTATAATGTATAGAATAGAAGACATAATAGTCACTGTAGAGTACGGAATACTTATACATACTGTAAATAATCGAGTAATTTTGGTCCAATTAAAACTCATTACAAAAATATCTTTAGTGAACTACAGACTGGCCTCATTGGAAAGGGAATGAGCTTCCATCTAATTCAAGTTACAAACTAAACTTTCTGGCCAAAGTCATTGGGAAATCCCTTCGGTTTATCGAAAAACAACTTTTTTCCGTGTCACTGTTTGTCACAACCTTAATTTATTTTCTTCAGCTAATGTCTTGATCCCCTTCTTTTATTCCAACGAAACGAAAAATTTCAGATAAAGTCATAAGGGAACTAAAACAACCGCAACGACGACAGCAGTGAAAACGACACTAACAAATGAATTTGCGTTTTTCGAACCTAATGGCATTTATTTAGCTTCGCTCAATTTGTCAAATGTAGGCGAATCTTCCTGCTAGTGAATTCTCAAGGATTGTATCCAAGTTCAAAAATAGAAAGGAGAATTTGTTCACGTCTTCTTTAAACCGTCACATTACGAAGTCTTGCTTCGTAGAAATGCAGTGGACAACTATGAAATGAAAACGAATAATTGTTTTATTTGTTTTCTTTTTTGACTCCCTCCCCCCCCCCCCCCCCAATTTTTTTTTTTTTTTTTTTTTTTCTGCTTATCCCCCCACTTTACTTTCGCTGAAACAATTACACTGTTCCAGGGGGGGTTTAGGACAAAGTGGGGGCGCTGCGAAAAAAAACACAAAAAAAAAAAAAAAAAAAAAAAAAAAAAAAAAAAAAAAAAAAAAAAAAAAAAAAAAAAAAAAAGAAGAGAAAAGAAAACACAAAAATTTTTTTTTTTTTTTTTTTTTTTCTCCCTCCCCCCCCCCCCCATCCAGTCTTGTTACGTTGTCGTCGTTGCTGCTGATACTCCCAATTTACTTGCGCTGAACGCATTAGCCTGTTCCAGGCGTGAGTTAGGACACAGTGTGAGCCATGCGAAAAAGCTACCAAAAAAAAAAATCAAGAAAGCAGTAATACGAAAAAAATGGAAACTGAAAGCTAAAAGTTGTAAATGAGTGCATGTTTAACCCTAAACAGCGCTTAACCCTCATCCGTAAAATAAGTGCTTAACCCTCGTCGGTAAAATGGGTGCGTAACCCTACTCAGTGAAAAAAAAAATGGTGAATCTGGCGCAAATTCACCCTTATGCGGACAATCTTTGCAGGTGCTTAGTGTCATTTCACAGGTACCAAGTCTTTAAAGTGCATTTGATGAACATCTTTGCCTCACAATTTAATGAAACACTGTATAGAGAACTGTCAGCAATTGGGATTGTTAACGTCTACGTGTAACCTTTAAAGTTAGAGAGTGATTGATAAAATATATGTTGGAATTCTTATCATTTCAAAGAGTTGGAGGTTGTCTTCTTGAAGTTATTAATGTGACTACCTGAGCGGCTTGAAATTGCTTTGGTTGGATTCAACGAAAAAATCTGTCCTATTAAATAACTCATTGTCGTATGACTTCGAAAGAAAAAAACTTCTACATTACAAGACCAAATGATGGTAGTGTGATTTTTTGTTTCACCGCATCATATTACTTTTGGTAAGTCAAGCGACTTTGAAAGTTAGTAATAATAAGAAAATGTGAAATTCATGGCAGAAATACATAATTGGCACTACTTCCATTGATTGTACAGTTTTCTGATATATTTGATTCAGTTGTATTTGATAAAATGTTGCCTCACAAGTTACGCGCTGAGCAAAGCCAATGTCATTTGAATGTTTTGCAAAACCCTGGCTAATTTTTACATTTTTGGTATTTTTTGCCAGATTTGCCATTTTCGTCATAATTGACACTCTCCAAAGGAGAATATTCACTAAACCTATACCAACTGTTTGTTGTGCCGGATTCGACATTTTTGTCACATTGCCGTATTTGCCATTTTTGTCAAAATCGCCTATCTTCAAGGGGCCTCTTTCAACATCTCATAAGACGTTTCGCCACATCTTTGGCGAAATTTTGCCATATTCTCCATTTTTGTCAAAATCGCTACTATTGAAGGGGCCCCTTTCAACAGCTCATTAGAGGTTTTGCCAAAACTTTGGTGAATTTTTGTTCGCCATTTTCGTCAAAATCGCTACTTGTCAGGAAGCCCCTTTGCCTTCTTATTTGACATGTAGTCAAGGCCTTGACAAATTTTTTCTCACATTCGCCAGTTTCGTCAAAATTGCCGTTTTCAAAGGGCGTGTCCTTTGCCATGTCATTTGAATTTTTGTTAAGACTTTGGCGGGTGTTCGCTGGTTCTCACTACATTCTTTATAATCACCAATCTCCAAGGAGCCACTTTTGGCGTCCAAAATGAATATTGGCCAAACCCATGGCGAGTTTTTGCCAGATTCGCCATTTTCATCAACTTCTCTTCTTTACAAGGAATGCCTCTTTTAATCTCATTTAAATTTTCGCCAGCCCTTTGGCGAATTTTTGCCAGATTCGCCATTGCGTGCATTTCTGGACATAAGTGGAGAACCCTCAAAGGGCGGCAAGGCGAGAGAGACTTGCCGCGCGTTGGGAGCTGGGGCGAAGAGATCCGAAGAGACGGATGATCATGTTTCAGAGTGAAAAGGAAACGTCTTTCATGTATTAAGGAGTTGAGGTATTCATCCCTCTCCCTTTCTTCTGCTTCAGTTTTCCCTCGCTCTCTATTTCGTTTTCGATTCTGTTCGCAGTTTTCAGGCGGATTAAAAATAAAGCGAAAGTCCTTTACTACCTGACTACAGTCAGTTGCTTGTTGAATAGTGCTGTATTTTCATTTAGAATTTGACTCCTATAACTCTTAAGATTCTGTGTTCTGCTGGTTGTCAAAAGTTCCGTATGGTTTCCCTTGTTCATTGCCAATTAACGGTGACGTGTCCTTGGAGTCCTCTGTTTACTGTTCCTGGGCGCATTCCTCATCCTCCTCGACTTCCTGTTGACTTTGTGGCGCCTCTCTGTGGATATATACCTCATTTTCCCTTCTAACAAGCAGAGTTATGATAGATATGATCAGGCCGCAGAAGACAATTGCATTGACAACCACAAGCAGCCACACAATACTTGAGTCCGGGCTGAGAACTACATACCTGATGTTCACGAAAGAAAAATGAAGAGTTAAAAGAACCAGGGTCTCGGCTGAGTTTTCTAATGCTATTTTCTGGCAGGAGTCCTTGAATGGCTTGAAAAGAAGCTGGAAGCACAAGGAGACCAACAGAACGAAGCAAACTGCGATCGTCTGAAATGATGAAGAAGGCGAGATGAACGAGACCGAGAAACCAATCAGCATGCTGCGAAGAATAAATAGTATCTCAAAATAAGAGCGAAATTCGTTCTTGTAAGGCAGGTAAATTGAGCCCAGCCAAGTGTCTAACGTTTCTCGATCCTGTGGAGGGAGTTGGTCTCTCTTGGCAGCCTTGCATATCAGAAGTGGTAAAAACACTGCAAAAGGTACCCCTAGAATGTATATTGCCAAGGAAAACCAACCGAACCCTTTTAATAGGTTGTATTTAGAGCCTCTGCACTCCATCCATGGTGCCTCCATGAGGTAATGGTAATTTTCGTCCGTCCCACAGGGAGCCAATACAGAAGCTGTTTTCTCCACGATGGGAAAGTAACAGAGGCTCAGGAACATGATGGAGAACTGCAAACAGTTATTTCTCAGTTTAAATCTCTTTTCAAGTGAATGACGAAAGCTAGGAACAGCATACCCGAGACCATAGCACAACCACATAGCAACGATAAAAATAACCGGCAATAACATAAGGAACAGAAGCTCCCCCAGTGGTGTGAAGAAAGAAGGTATCTCACATGCCAGGTTAGTAAAACGAAGGTTAAAAACACCAACGATATAGTTCTTAGTTTGAATAATTTCAATAGGCCAGACATCTGTGGAAATCAAAGCATCTAGGGTCTGGAGGTAAAAGACTGTTATCTTTATAATTCCACGCGCAGCTTTGCCTCTTCCAGCCAAACCAACAATGAGAACTAGTACATCGAGATAAAGAATCCTGCTTAGGATAAAATGGGGATGAAGCTCCGCTAAAACTGCTAAGAGGATGATCTGAGCAAAGGCTAACGTAACCGCAAGAGGACGATTCTTTTGGTAAAAAAAGGTGAAGCAGAGAGTAAGCAACACCATGGTGAACACAACGAGGGCAGCTAAGATGTAGATACTGATATTCCCACTATCGGCACAAGGGTAGCAACGAATTCCCTTTTTGTAATAATTTTTCTCACAAAGCGAGCAAAATCGCCCTTTGCTTCCTTCTGAACACAGGCATGACTTATTACAAATGGTGGATTTGATTTCTTCATTCCACTCGCATTTGCAATTAGTGCCTTTTGGATTACATGATGTATCTACGTAGCGACTTGCACCAAGTTTTTCTGAACAACGTACCAAATGGGTCACATTGTTATGTCCTGGCGAAGGCCAGTATCCTGCATTCATTACCATGTGCGACACCATGTTATGCTGCCTTAGGCTTTTCAGAGGAGGCCTCTGGGCATTACATTTCCCACCTTTCATGCAAGATAAACAGTTTCTTCCTGATCCATAAAATGTGTTGTCTCAAACGCATAGGCTATAGCTGTAATAGCTAGGATCCAAGACCACCAATCCATTGCTGTAGCTGATGCGTAGGTTAGGGCACGTGAAATTATCTAAACTATTTCTGCGTGACAAAGTTGCAAAGTCAGGTTCCATAAAGTCCAGCTTTTTAATTTCTCGCATAAGAGAATTGTTTGAAACGTCCAGTTTTATCAGATTAAATATCATTGTGATGTCTCGAGGGATTTGTCCTGAAAGTTTGTTTTTTGAAACATCAAAGATGCGAAGTGATTTCAAGTCTGTGGAGTACGATGGAATATCTCCAGATAATCTGTTGTTGCTAAAATCGACAGTGAATAACTTTAAAAACTTCCACAACTCTGCCGGGATAAGGCCACCAAAATTGCAGCCACTTATGTTAAGAAAACGTAGAGACTTTTTCGCGGATTTCAGAACTTTCAACAAGTCAGAGACACTCATATTGAAGTGCTTATTGTTGGCAAGACTCAGATCCTCTAGCGACATGGAATTAAATTGAAAACCTTGTGCAAATGACGTGAAGTTATTTCCTTCGAAGTGAGCAGTCTGAAACCCGGCAATCTCACCGACGGGTTTCGGAATTAGTCCTGAAAAATTTTTATTGGACAAGTCTAGATGCTGTAGGTTTTTTATTTTTCCAATCGATGAAGGGATTTCTTCAGAAAAATGGTTCCCTGCTAATAGAAACTCTATTAATCCAGGAAAATATGTCCCAAAATCCTTAGGTAGCTTTCCGCTCAGTCCAGAATATGAAAAATGCATAAAACGTAAGGATGATATGTTTAATAAGTTTTGAAAGCCTCCTTGTAGATACTGTGTACGTGTCAAATCCAGAAACCAGAGTTTCTTCAATTTTGCAATACTTTTCGGTATCGAACCATTCAATTTGTTTCCCCCAAGAGAGAGAATTTGCAAGTCTGTCAAATTTCCAATGTCCTGTGGAATTTCTCCTGTGAGTCCTTCCCCCGTTTGAGAGCCAAGTTGGATTGCTACTAAAGACTTCATCCTAACTATTTTTTTACCAGGAATACGACCGGATAAATTGTTAAAGGAGAGTCCAAGTTGTAGCAAATTGGTCATATTCTCAGAGACAATTTTACTTATTTCACCTTGTAACTCACCGTTTCCACCAAGACACAAACCCTGTAAATTACGTAACCTCCAAAGGCTTTGTGGAAGAGTCCCGACCAAATTGTTTCTTTCTAAGAAGATACTGATAATGGAGCGATTGGTGGGATCACAAGTAATTCCATACCACAAACAGTGAGACAACGAGTAATATCCCCAGTGTTTATTATTTTTCCAGTTATGACCATTTGTTTCGTTGTATAGTTGCATGAGAACAATTTTTTCTTGCTCGATAAATGTTGTGTCAAGAGTGATTTCTCGAAATGGACGTTTGGTTAAGCAGCCATAGGCAAATAATTCGTCGTAGTTCAAATTTTGCCAATCTGAAAAGAAACAAATAAAAGACAAAATGATTCCGAATTTGGGTCACAAATCAGATGCCTGATACGAGTTTGTATAAACAAGGCGAAGAAGAATCGAGAAGAACAAATAAAGTCGGTTCTAAAAAGGAAGTTGTCGACTACGCACCCTTGCATAGAGGCATTTATTGTATAAACACAAATTAAATACCGTACCTGGTGAGCTTTCGCGCGAAAACATGATATCTTCACACGTGAAAATAACATGTTATCTTCACATGAGAAAAGATCACCGTTGCTATGGCTACATAATAAATCGCGCCTTTTGCAGCAAAAAAATATTTAAGTGAAATGGTTTGGCATTTCCTTGGTGTTTATATAATAAACAGAACATTATATGGCCGCTTGGAGATACGAATTTTCTCTTCTCGTGTTGAAAAGTATTTCACGAGTGAGCTACTCTCACTCGTGAAATATATTTTCAACACTCGAAGAGAAATTTCGTATCGCCGCGGGGCCATGTAATATCCTCTATTTCTGAACATTTCTTCCTGTAGACTGGTAGAGTTCTCAAGATGATATCAAACACGTTTCATCAGCGAGCTCAGTAACCAGAATAAATATTTGTTGACATTAATTTTTATGGCATTGCATTAAAATGGCCATTGTTTTTCATGTTCGCTGTATAGATCGTTTTCACTGTCACGCAACAAAAAAATAAATTGGAAACCGTCCAGTGGAAGAAGCCGAGAAATGACATGTTACAAAAGACTAATATATAAACAATTTGTCCAAGTCTCAGGTCTTTGTGGCCCATAGTTTCTGAGTTATTTGCCGAAACGTTTCACGCACCCTTGTAGAGCTTTGTATGGAGACGCCATATTGGTGTACCGTTTTGGTCCACCAATATGGCCGCCGGAAATCAACAAAACATCTGGAGTTCACTTTTGCTACGGGAATGGAAACTTGAACAAAGATTTATTTTTTGTTTATCTTCAACCTAGTCTAAATAAGAATTCGTAAAACCTCGCTGTTTTGACTTAACAGTTTGATGACGTCACTGTGAAAACCATCTATTTACGAAGACCTTTTAGTGCCAACACGGAGCTTAACACGTCTTAACTAGAAAATGAATGCACCCTGCAAAAAGTATGTGTCGGGAGCTCTAGTCGGAAAAGATTCGTTTTAGTTCGGTCATCCAGACCTTTTGATAAGGGAGGGGGAGGCGGTCTCCAAAAAAAGGTCTAAAAATAAGGGGGGGGGGGGCACCCGGGCCCCTCCCCTGGATCTGCCTGCCACTGGAAAGGACAGATTTCCCCACCCTTTCATGTAGCCGACGCCTGAAAAAGGAACCCCTTTCGGGCGGAACCTTCCCCTATAGGCTATCATTAGGAGTACCCCCCGTGACCCTTTATATTTCCTATTTCCCTGCTAAATATAAAACTAAATATGCGTATATGTGTATCAAGCGACTAAACCGCTTAAATACTTTCAAGGAGCACAACGAGTCAACAAGCACATGGTTCGGACGAACAGAACAACACGACAGAGGTCACGTGACCCCAAACAAGTTCCCAGGACCGCACAAAGGTTGTCTGTACACTAGGCTGTTAAGTAAGACTAAAGAGCTGCTAAGTTTTACTGTACTTAGCCAAATATTCGTGTGTGAAGGCCTAAGTAAAATCTCAAGTAACTTTACTTTGCATCCCATTAAAGTCGGAAAGTTGAAACAGTTCAAGACAGTTTCAAGCGACTTGTAAACCATCCTTATGACCGACTTAGCTCACTTGCGGTTGCTTGCGGTTTCTTGAGCTTTAAGAAAGTCAAAACATGTCAATCAATTACGTTAATTGGGAAAATGGCGTTACGCTACGTGAGAAAATGGCCTTAGGTTACTCGGTTGTGTGTGAAGCTTTATTTTTCTTGAAGTAATTAAAATTTACTTGTCTTGAAATATTTCTTGTCTTATTTAGGTTCTAGTGTAAAGACTACCAACATGTCTAAACACAAAATCTCGTGGCACAATGGTTATCTTTACACTAGGCTGTTAAGTAAGACTTAAGAGCTGCTAAGTTTCACTTAGCCTAAGTGTGTGTGTGTGTGAAGGCCTAAGTAAAATCTCAAGTAACTTTACTTTGCATCTCATTAAAGTCGGAAAGTTGAAACGATTCAAGAAAGTTTCAAGTGACTTGAAAACCATCTGATGAACCATTCCTTAAAACCGACTTAGGGAACTTGCGGTTTCTAAGCTTTTAGAGGGGCGAATCATGTCAATCAATCTTAATTATATTGCGTGGGAAAATAGGCTTAAGTAAATCTGAAGTAAAAAAGTATAAGTCTAATGCAAGTACTGCACGCGTGATTAGATCACTGATATCTATCGCATAACGGCACTCTTGTTAAGGTAGAGTACTTTCTCGTGCATCTCTCATTCATTTTTTTGCTCTCCGTGAATCATATTTTAAAGCTTACCGCTACCGTTTGAGTTTCCTTGTTCCGGTGTTCGCTCGCTTAGTCCTCGGCCAGGATGCAATTCTGATCCGACCTTGAGAAAACCCTGTGAATAACACTGGCATCCTGTGCAGCAAAGATATAAAACTGAAGCAGTGCAAATGACGGTAAACAGACGCCCTGAGATCTCCATCATGACTACACATCAAGACTCGGAATGGAGGCCCGTTCTCCGTCGACCCAAAGCCCGTCATTTCTTTTGGTCACGTGGTCTTGAAAATATGCTGATTGGCTCTGAGGAAGTAGCAGCCGATTAGTAGGAGCCCCCCGTGATCTCCCATACTCCATCTCCCCTTTACCATGGAAAGTTATTTATAGAAATATTTTTCGCGGAAAATTTGTCACACCTTAATGCCTTGTTTGTAATAACGAATCAGAGCGCAGCTACGGTCAAGTTCCTTTGCCTATGCTTTTTCTCGTTTTTAAGAAATCTTTGACAGCAATGGCGGAAAGGGTGGGGGAATTATCGCAGTAATCGGATGGTAGTTCTGCAAGTTATGATCTGCTTTCTAGCTAGTCAATAACATCTTTTAATCGGCTCATGAGGAAGAGAATGAGCAAGGCCCTGCATACTAGCATCCGTTTTATTTACGTTTTCTAAAGACTGGCCATCCATGCGTTCACACTCAACGGCTAAATACGGTTTTAACTGATAGTTACTAACCCTATTTTGTCTCTTGTGGCATAGCCTGCGCGCGTAACGAGTGTTTCCAGTTAAGTCATTGCGCGAAAGTTAGAGCGACGAACTCACACAGAAACGCTTGTTAACGGCTAGCCTTTGTACTAGTACAATTGGCATAGACTGCTAGCAGTCTGCCTTTTCTCTTAGATCCGTCGAGTTCTCGGACGGGGTGAGCGGGTAAGCACTAAAAACGCAGAAAAAGATGAACTCAGTCTGCCTTGAAGCAACTAGCGTTGGGTGGTTTAGGAGTGTTGCTGTCCAATTTTACGTCTTGGACCTTACTACTCAACCAAACTGTTCACTTGAGCATCCCTGCTCTGAAGTTCTTTCCTGCGATTTAACTTTTTCACAAAGACTCGCGTCGTGTAAATAAGACCCACGACATTCGTTCGACACATTGTGGATGTCATAAGTGAAAATTGTGTGCGTGTGGATGGTCAAAAGTCATAACGTCGCGCACGATAGTCGTAGGAAAAATCGTACCGTCCAAATCGGCCTTTAGAGTTCGTAGGTCTTCTGACATAGCGCGAGCGGCAAGGGGTAACGGGCCGGAAAGAGATCCCTACTTTTTAATATGAAGATCAGATGAAACTGTTATGTTTAACCCTTTAACTTGCATATTCTCCAAACCGTTCTACAAACTTTCCCTGTGGTAATAATTAAGAGAATTTGTTCAACAATCAAGAGCTTTTTCATCTCGTTGATCATATCCTTTATTCTCACAATCGTAATGTTTGATTAAAGAGCGTTACTGTAAAGCTATGGTAAGACGGGCAACAAAAACATGCAACTTGTTTTGCAACACTGCTGCAAAACGAGTTGAGAAGCAATGATGCTCGTGTTACCAGCCACTTTTAAACCTGTCTTTCAACATATGAGGTTGTTGGGAAACGTTTTTGCAACAAGTAGAGAACAGTTCTACTTTTACGCAACAAAATCTGTACATGTTGCTCGTTTTACCGGCCCAAGGCAAACTTGTTTTGCAGCATAGTTACGTAATTCCCATGTATGGCGGGATTCCCGCGTGATTTTATCCAATCAGAAGTCCGCATTCACGCGACCTGCAGCCGGGAACCTAATTTGTTGTAAGACAGGTTTGAATGGGGCTGGTAAAACGCGCAACATCACTTTTTGTAGCAACGATTCGAAACAAGTTGCACGTTATTGTTGCCCGTTTTACCGCAGCTCAAGGAGAAACAGGTTAGTTAAGGACTGTATATTTTGGTGGTTTAAGTCTTCTCTGCTTGCGATGGGCAGGCCCGCAAGTAGCCATAAATTACAAATGAAGTCGTTTATTCTACATACTTTAAGAATACGTACTCTAAGAGCTCTAAGAGCGTACTCGAAAGTTCTCGATTGACGATTATATCGATTGCACAGGTCCGGCCAAATCACATTTACACACTTTTTAATTCGTCCAGTCCACGCGTATCCAGTTGCGGATGGTCGGAAAGGTAGTCGTTAAACTTTATTTCACAGCCATCTTCAATCATTTTTTGTAAAATCCTTGCTATGTTACGAGCATCGTCCATTCCGCTATGAGCGCGGCCTTCGAATTCCATTCCAAGATTGGTTACCATTTTTTGAAGCGAGCCTTTTGCAACTTTGTAGAAATTCCTGTACAGTTTTCTCAGATCAATCCACTTTCTCGCAAACTTGGGTACAGGTATCGAACAAAGTCTGCACTGGGTCGAGAAGAAACGACCCATGTCCCAGGGACTAAAAAATTCAAAGGAAGGAGAATTAAGTTTCCCTCTAGAATTAACAATTTCCAGAAACGTTGCACACCAAAAAACAACTAAAAACAAAACTGAGAAGATTTAATTACCCATCTGTTACTACACCAAATTTATATTTTGTTCCAAGTTCTTGCCTTCTAAGCCACTGCTCAAATCTGGAGAGGACATCTGGGAAGGAGTCTGCATTGTCTACTAATTCCTTAGAAATGACAAATAAATAAACAAACAGATTCAACAAGAACAAAAATAAAGTGAGATGTTTTGCTTGGCATGTGATCAGATTTGATTGATGACACTGACATCATCACTTATCCGGGAGTCAAAAGACTTTTCACAAAAAGTTAACAAAACGTGATAGGTAAAAAGGTAGTAGGATTATAAGTAACAGCAATGTATCTAATTAAAAGAAGGACCGTTCAGTTATATTATCATCAGAGGCATACGGTTGTGATTTAGGGCTTAAATGGGGTTTTAATCCTATCAAACAATGGCTTTTAAAAGTTGTTGAGAGGAGTAGTGAGTGTTGCACACGTAGAAAAAACCTCTGCTACCCAGGGTAGGCCACAACTTAAAAATGAGGCGAATGGCTGAAACTTGAACTACAGCTGTACAGTCTGTGGAAGCTCTCTTAACAGACATTCTAGTGAGTGGACAGCTCTACAAACTGGCGGCCTTCACAAAATCCGTTTTAACTTCCATACAAACTCTGTATATTTACATTCCTGTAAGCGGACATACCCATAAACAGCCAAGGACACTTTCAGAAGGCAGACAACCAAAATAAAATCTCATTCACCTTTGAATCTTGTATTTTAATCTGAACCTTGACTCCAAATCACTGTTCATCACAATGAATTGATGCCAGTTTTCAGTGCTTGTTTTTTTTTTTCACATACAACATGGGGAACACCTCAAGACACCTGTTGAATTTAGGCTTGTGACTGAACTGTAACATTCGCAGAACAACAGTATAGCCAAAAAGTAACAAACAGTTTTTTTGCATTCGCAAAGTTTACTTGTAGCTGGGCAAACTCCCGTAAGCTGCCATATAACCCTTACACCCCCAGTAGCCGCATATGATCAACTATTCTTGTAAGCTGCCAGCTCCAGTTACGTACACCTTTTTCGTATCCTGAGGGTGTCCATTTACGAGAGCTTCCACTGTACCATGGTTGATAATGACACCACACCCACCTGTGAAATTCCCGTGAGTTCCTGGCAAAACTGCGACAATTGTGACTTAAACTGTGGTTTGCAGTATTCATGAAATTCAGATACCTAGCAACAACAACAACAACAACAACATGCTTGTGTTAACACACGAACTATAAGCACGTTGACAACACTGCTTGTCTTTGAAATACTCAAAAGGCTGTCCAACAATCGCAACCAACCACAATTGAAGGTTTTGGATGTCTTGCAAGGCTTAGTTGTTTAGTGATAAATCATGCTAAAATAGCATTGATCCTTAAATTGTGTGATTGGATGTGATTTGAGGCCAGTATTATGAAAAATCACACCATCGCATAATATCAGCCCTGCAAAAACTACTACAAATGTCCACCTTTTTTTTTGTAAATAAACTTGATTGGTTCGGTTTGCTAAAACTCTTGTTAGTATCATGATTGTATTTCAATATTTGAATAGGTGCCCAGTTTAACTTGTGCTTCAATGTTCAAAGGAGGGAGCCAAACCACTTAAGCAGTGTTCTTCTTATCAGGCGAGTAACCAGTACTGACTGAAGCAACTCTTAATTCTTACCGCCTGCAACTGCTTGAAGGTTTACTAAAATTAAATATTAAGTAGTTTTAAAAAATACGCAAGTTGTGATCCGATCTGATCAAGGAAATAAATATGAATGAAGATATGGAAAAGTACTAAAGTAACAGTTTTTCTTTTTTATGGGCCATGCATTTTGTAAAGACAACATTGAAGACAGAATTAAATTATTAGGATCAAACATTTTAAATTCATTGTTGTCTAAAGATAACAATGGCCGATTTGTGTAAAATAGGTCTTAAAATGAGGGAATGATGTTTCAAAGAACTTAGCTCCTCCTAGGGTGGGACCATCACTTCACTACCCCCTCCTCCCCAAGGAAAGTGTATCTCTGGGGCATATATTTTGCCTTACTGGCCATGAATGGTCCCTTCGGCCAGCTAAGCTAAAATTTAGGGAGAACACTGCTTAAGGGCACCTAGCAATAGTTTTCTTTTAAATTCATTGAAAACATTTTTAGGCTATCCACAGTATTTATAACTCTACAAATGCATTCTAGTAAATGGCACTATAAAATTTGTATCTTTTCAGTGATCCTAGGGTAACTTAAGTCTTTTCAAAAGTACAACTTTGGGCTTTTAGAACTATTTTCCCAAAAATTTTAGATGAAACTTAAAATACTTTGCTAAGGTGAGAAAATTTTATGTTTCTTTTTTGTACAAAATAGCTTAACCTGGCCATGGGGAGGGAAATGTGAAAAATTAAAATTCAGAAAACTGTATGGAATATATAAGATAAGCTTCCAAAATAGTACATGAATGGAATATTTTTAGCCACCCTCAAGCTATAGAAAATTATAGGAGATACGTATTTGCTTCTCCAATAATTTGGATGTTTTACAGGAGAGAGTTGTTCGGTGCCCCTACTAATTTCACTTACCACTTCAAGTGTAGTCGCATCCACAAGGACAGCAGGAAACTCAATAATCTCATGAATGTAGTCTTTGGGATTTTCTTCCTCACACGTTCCTTCAAAGTCAATAACACAGTAAAAGTGAACTTCATTCATTCTCTTTTCCTGCTCTAGTTTAGCCTGTACCAGTTTCTCTTTCTTGATGTGGTTTTTTAGTCGTTTCTGCAGAACTTCCTTCACTCCCCTATTTGTTAATACAGAGCAAAAAATGGATTACACACAAATGAAACAGCATTGTTACTACAGAAAACATCAGATTGAGGATTAAATATTTAAAAAAATCTGTTGGAAAGTCCTTCAGATTTATGGGTATATAGAGATGGCCCTTGCCTAGAATCAACCTAGTGATGGTAGCTTGGATGGAAGGCACAAAGCATTTCTGTCGGTAGCCTTAGCAGTCCAATACTTGCCTGGCATCTTACCATTCACTAAGCCACCGGCTCCCTTGGAGCTACCTACCCTGCTACTCTGGAGGGAATGCATCTAAGCCAGGAAAACCTTGTTCAAGTTGTACCCACCCTTGATTAGACATTTCCCTTTGACAGCTGCTGGAGTAGGACCTGCCAGTCTTTAATCGGCCTTGCCAGCCACTAACATGCTTGCACTAGGAAATATACGCCCTATTGACCCAGATGATATGCCTTATTGACCCAAGATGACAGGATATTGGCTAAGTTCTTTTTCTCACATTTTTCTGGCCTGACACAAAGTTGTGGTCAATGATAATGCAAACAAGTACTGAAGCCAATATCCAGCCATCTTGATCTCGCCTTCCTTGAAAATCCCGAGCGAGCAAGGTAGTCTTATCTTGCCCGCTAGAGTAGCCAATCAGAATGCAGTATAAACTTTCTCTTGGGCGTTTGCAGAACCAGCCATAATTGTACTCTACAAAAGGACAGAACTGACTTGTTTTCATTCGATCTTCGACTCTGAAGTGAACGTTAACAACAAGTGAACGTAATCTTACGCAAAATTTGTACTGAAAGAAGACTAAAGTTTCAGCAAGGAAGTGATATATATTCAAAAAAAAATTCCTTATGTCCTTTTTATTCCTAAGGTAGAAATTTGAATCACCACATACAAAATAGATTACTTAACGATAGTCTAGGTTTTCCTTGTCAGTTACAAGAAAACCTTAAGAAAAAATAATCGCAACTATTGTGGTAAAAATCCATCCAACATTAAAAGCGTATGTCAATGCAAATTGCATATAAGCGCCAAAATTACACAAAACTTACCTTGAGTCCAAACCCCTTTCAGCAAGGCAAAGTTTGACTTCCTCTTTCTTCATCTTGTTAATTTGTCCATTCGTAAATGAAATTTCTCTATAAACTGGGTGATCATAAGTTTGCTGTGTAATTTGTTTCGTTCTTTCACTTTGTTTTGGAACTCGCGGCCCTTCCGCCATTTTGGTTTCGTTTTGTGAGATAACCGCTGGACTGTCGAAGCACTTGCGGAAGTGATTTACCATCGCGCTCATGTGAGCAGGAGTCGTGCAGTAGAACTCTGCGATGGGTAGGTTTTCGCGAGGATCTGTCCTTCTGTTAATTTTGTTCTCTACTGTTTCGGTTGTTTACTATAGCAAAAGGTGCCATTGTTATAAATTTCAAAGAATAAGTTATTCAAAACGTGGATCAAAGTTCATCCCCCAAAGAACACTCAGCGAGTCAGCTACTCGAAGTAGGTCAACTGAACACGCAGGTAGGCAAAATATACGTTTTAATAGACAAAGGAAAACGGAAAAAAGTTTGGGATTACTAGGTGCTTTAGCAGACATGTTTTGTAGATCGCAGCGAAGAGTTGCGAGCGCACCCGTCGCACCCCACTTCCCTACAGCCCTGTTCTCGTTGTTTTACTATTAAACCCGGCTGTTTCGATCATTGCACCGGTGGATAGACAGACAGTTTTCAAAATGCATAGTTCAGCAGCTTATTCATCACAACGTAAAATAGGTAAAAAAAAAGCGTAAACCATGGTAATTGTGGGGTGAGGGTAAAAGAAAGGATATATCTGTGGCATGACTCACTCTTCAGGAATGGCATAATTATGTGAAATGTAATGAATAACTAGAAACTGAAAAAAAGTTGAATGATTTTGCTGTATTTCGCTATGCCCTAGTATTTTTTAGTCTGAAATATCACACGTCTGCTTCCCCTGACCCGTGGGAGGGGGTAGAGAGAGGTGTCTAAATTATACCAACTTAAAGATGTAGGGGGTGGGGGGCGTTTTATTAGACTAGCCTGGGCCCAGGCTCCACAGTGGTGGAAAGGGTGAAAAAACAAACAAACAAACAAAAACAAAAATCGGTAAGCTTGTTGTAGTTAATCAATAAACCGACATTCAATCTCAATCGTTGATAATTTCCGATATCAACCGATAGAAATCTATAAAGAAAAAGTCGTGAGTTTAGAAATATTGATTTCCGATAGAAAATCACTGATTGTTATTGAGTACTATTGATTGTTATCGGAAAAAAAATTCGGTAGAAGTATGACAAAAGATGTCAGCGATTCAATTCCCGTCAATTCTTGCATTGACTGGATTTCCAACCTAAGCGAGATTGCAAGGAAAGAAATACGAATAGCAGCTGATGACGTTGGATGAAATGGACATGATAAATCTGATTTATAAAGAAAGATGTTAAAAGATGGAAAAATGTTGTAAATGCATTAAAACCAAAGAAACAAAAATTAGGACGCGGGGAAGACTATGCCTGGTTTGACGCAGGCGCGGATCTAGGATAAATTCTGACCGATTTCCTAAATGAGTGTCGAAGGCGCAAGCTTCTAGCGGGGTCTAGGGTTGGGGGGGGGGAGGTTCTCCCCAAGGAACTTTTTTGGGATTTTTACTCCTCAAGTCCCCTTTCCTGGGTTTCCGAGTCATTCAGACAAGATATTAGCCAGATTTCAACTTGGAAAGTGTTGTTTTATTTTTAAAAATATATTATTATGACTGAAATGTGACCGATTTCCGTAAAACGGTCGAAACCGGTGTGGATCTGCGCCTGTGACGTACATGCTGAAGTCAAAACTAAAATATGTCACGATAAAGCCGATCTCGTCAGTCTTGTTTGCCAAATCTCGGTATCGTCACCTTCAGAATATCTGAACCACATACTCCTCAAGATTATTGCCTGTTAAATGCTTGTTATCGATTACTATCGATTGTTATCGATTTCTATTGATTAACTACGTCTGGCAAATGAATTTATCAGGCCGTTTAACCGAGACGTAAACATTTCCAAAAACGCTTGCGTTTCCGCAAGTAAACATCAGTTTTACGGCAAACGGCCAAAGAAAAGACTGGACTACCTGATCAATTTTTCTTTTGGTGTTTTCAAAGTAAACAGATTGGAAAAAAGTATTGCACTTGAAAGAATTAATGGCTGGGGGTCAGATTGCAGAAAGCGACTGTCTGTGTGCACTGTGAAGATGAGTTCAATCACCGCTTACCGCCTGGCTTGGACAGTTGGAAGAGCGCCAGTCTGCTGAGCAGGCTCGAGGTTTCAAACCCCTGCCGGACCAACACCGTGGATGTTTCAAAAAAAATATCATGCCGGCTGTGCAGTGTATAATAAAGACCTTATCTCAGTTCTGATGATCGCGTCATTGGGAGTTGGCATTTGTCTTCTTTGTCCTTCCTTATAAATTCGAAAGGGACGTAAAAGAACCCAAATTGGTGTTCAAAGAGTGTAGGGGATGTAAACTACGCTGGAGGTAGTGGTGGTGGTGTTGGCCATCTTTTACTAAACAGGAAGTCGCCGTTTGCCGTAAACGCGCCAGGAAAAAAAATTCAAAACGAATTCAGCAACATAATCTTGTTCTTGGATTAAATTTTTTTTCCATTTGTGGCTATCGTAATGTATGATAATGAGTCTGAAACAATTTCAAAATACAGTTTACACCAAGGATAAACCCTAGCCCTTGAACCCAGAAACCCTATTCAGTTGGGACCGGGGGGGAGCCCCCCTTTCTATAACTTCAAGACCGCTTATGATTAATACGGCCACCGTAATTACACAGAACAACGCTTTCATTATTTCCAACATCTGGGCATAACTTGATTGACACAATGACGTAACTTGACGTCACTCTGACGTCATATTGTTGAATTTATTGAAAAAACCCGAATTCCACCTATTTTTCCCCTCAAAGCAAAAATAGTGTCTGACAAAATCTAGAAGTTGGTAAACACCTTACTCATTAAATAATCTTAAACAATAGCAGTGATGTCATGAAGACGTCATTCATTGTAAAAGAGGGATCTAGAACCATCCACCATTTTGAATTCATGAAATGTATTCCATTTTACTTAAAACCCGCGTATCGAGGTAATCATTATAGAAAAATTGATCCGTGTATAAAAGGATGCTTAAAAAGCAAAAAATAAATACATAAATAAAATAAAAACTGCGAGTTACACTCTCCTCCGCAAAGGCTCCTGCTGTGTATTCCTGAGACGTCTGTGGAGGAGATGGCGCAAGTTATGAAATTCTGAGAGAAATTATCACTGTTAAAACCTGAGCCCAGCATCTGACATTTTGTCATTTTGAATTCACGTTTCTTCTCAATCAATCACTAAAAAGCCTGGATTTCACGAACAGTTATAATGAATTTAACGAAATATTGCTCAATTAAGTGTAATGCTGAAATTCAATTAGTAACAATAAAAATAGATCCTTTTTGTTGCAAAAAAACAAATTTTGAAAAACATAGCCGTAACACTCAGTTGCCATGGTAACGTAAATGTTGACGTACACCTCACCAGGACTTTCAAATGTTTCCAGATAATTTTAGGAAAAGTCCTCATAGCTTAGCCGAGTTCCAAGTTATTCAACTTTTTGGCGAGGGGGGCTCCAAAAGCCCCCCAGTCTGAATAGGGTTAACGGCAACTACGTCACTCCTGTTGACAGAGCTAAGGGACCGTTCATTTTTTATGAGAGAGGGGGGGCTGGTGGGAATTTGTGGGGGGGCCACTCGAAAAAAATTGGCTTGAAAGGGGGGGCCAGCCGAAAAAAAATGAAGGAAAGGGGGGGG